CCGCCGCAGCAGAACCGCCAACAGTCGCAGGCGCGGCGGGCGCGGCGGGTCGGCCCAGCTTTGTAGGCGACGCACGCTGCTGCACGTGCGAAGGGGCTGCGGAATGTGCAGCCTGGTTGTTGGGGCCCAGGGCGCCTGCACCCCCAGCGGCCAACAGCAGGGAGGGGCGCTGCAGGCGCGAGCGGCTGTCCAGGCCGAGAGTGATGCGAGAGCAGCTGCCGTTGCCGCTGCCGCCGCCGCTGCGGGGGCGGCTGCTGCCCAGAGCGCCAAGCTGGCCTGGCGCCTTGGCGCCGCCGATGGCGCTCAGAGTCTGCGGCGCGCTGCTGGGGGCGGAGCGAGGTGCGCACGATGGCTGCTGCTGCACTGCCGGCGCGCGCACCTTGCAGCTGGCCGTCGCTCCGCTGCCCGGGGCCTGCGCGGCAGCCGGGGCGGGCGGCGCCTGGTGAGGGGCCGATGGCGCCGGCAGCTGCGTCAGCGCTGGCCTGGCAGTGATCTGGCTGGGCTTGGGCGCTGCCGGGATGCAGGCTGGCACGGAAGGGGCGGGGGCCACCAGGGGCACCAGGCCCTTTGCCTGCGGGAAGGTGGGGCCCTGGAGCTGCGGCTGCAGTGGCAGTGCCGCGGAGAGCGTCAGCGCGCGCAGCGGTGCAGCTGCGCCGTCGAGCTGGGCCTTCTGGGCCCGGTCCTGCTGGTGCAGGGGGTGCCTTGTGAGGCCCGGGAGCTGCTGCTGCTGCTTGCTGGCGTTGAGCGCCGCTGCCCGCTTGGGGCTCACAGTAGGGCCCACCTCCGCTGTCTGAAGCTGGAGCGCCTTGACGCGCGGCGACAGCGGCTTGGGCAGTGCCAGCGCGGCCCCGGCGGTGCGGGCGATCGCGGTGGCCGCAGGCTGCTCGGCGCTGTGCCCCACCTGGGCCGGCGCCTCGGCCACCGCCTGCGTGGGCGCTGGCTGCTGGGTCGCTGGCGCGGCGGGTGCAGGCGAGGGCGCCGGCAGTGCGCCCAGGGACAGGCGGCTGGCGGGGCTGGCGTTGTGCTGCTGCTGGTCTGCCGTGGGCGTCTCTGGCAGCGCGGCTGCGGGCGCGATGTGCACAGGCGTGGAGTTGAACGCCGGGTGTTCGTCCGCCGTGATGGCGGCACCGCTGCGAGCAAGATGTGGTGGTAGGTAGCAGGAGGAGTCAAGCCAGCATGAATAAAAGGGCGCTCTTGGACCCGCTGCGCAGGCCGCGTGGTAAACCGGTTCCAAGTTGCGCTGAAGGGCAGCTCGGCACTGGAGCACGTCTGGCTGCTATGATTAACTTGGTGCTGGCGCATGCCTGCCTGGCCCCTGCCCTCGGAAGCTGTAACCCCTTTTCGTTCCCCCCACCTGGCGGGGGTGGCCCTGGCCACCAGGATCTCGGGCAGCACTTCAACCGGCTCTGTTGGCGGCGGAGCAGGCCCATGCACGGCCGGCGCAGTGACCATCCCGTCGTCTTCCGCCTGCTCCTCTGTGCCCTCTAGCGCCATGCCGCCTGCATTGCAGCCGTCCACCGCTGAGATGCTGCCGTCTCCATCCATGCACCGCTCAGAAGCAGGGTGATCCACAACCATCGTGGTGCCGGCGCTGGCGGCGGGGCTGGCGCTGCGGGCACCCATTGGTGCCGACGGGGTGGCGGCGGCACGGTCGGTGGCACCTGCAACTTCCTGCTGCTGCTCGAAGCCCTGTTGCAGCTGATGCCCTTCCTGCTGCTGGTGCTGCTGCTGCTGCTCCACCTCCTGAGCTTTTTGGTCTTGGCGCTGGGGCGGCGCCGTGGCCGCCTCAAGGGGTGCCGCGTCCACACCAGTGGAGCGCCCGGGGCTGCGGTTGCCCATGCTGGCGTCTGTGGAGGGCGCTGTGGCGGGGATGATGCCAGAGCTGATGGTGGATGAGGCGCCGCATACTGCGCAAGGGGGTTCACAGGGGATTGCAGGACAAGGATGAGGGTGAACGGGCTTACGCTGTGCAATGCAGTCTACCATGCGCGTTGAATTTTCTTGACACTTTGATTGGCTGAAAATGCATGCATTCTTTGCCGCCGTCATAGCGCCCATCCAATAAGCCACTCACCAGGTGCGCCGCCTGCTGGCGCCTGGGTTCCAATGGCACTTGGCTCTGGGGAAGCCGCCGCGGCCACCTTGCCCACGCGCGGCTCATCACCATCGATGACATCATCCTCATCAACATCGTAAACAGAAAAGGGGTTTTCGTCCTCCTCCTCCTCCTCATCACTGACTGCAGTATGGGGGATGGGGGATTCAGCGCGTCAGTCAAAGGAGAGGCAGGTTAGGAGCATGTGGCTACTGCTAGGAGGGGCGCGCACCAACCATGGGCCGTGTTGATGACCTCAATATCCCATGGCATGGTACCCTCTGCTTACCTGTTGGCTTCTTGGGCGGCGCTGGGGCTGCGGCGGGCCTACAGGAGGGGACAGCGTGCACAGCACGGGCCGGTCAAATGTGATCGGACAGTGGGGGCCTCAACCTCTGGGTCTCTCAGCCCAGACCTATGCGGCACCCCCCCCCCCCCCGATTGTTGTTCACCTGATGGTTTTGCCAAATTCTGTCGGTCCTGCCTGCATGGCAAAGCTGCCATTGTCGGTCTCACCCTCACCTGCATGGCGTGGCGCAGGGAACGAGGAGAGGGCTCAGCATGCGGCAGAGGGGCGGCGTGCGCAGGGGCCCATACGGCCCAAGAAAACTCACCAGGGCCCCAGAGCGTCATTTTGGGCGCTCCTGTGGCCTGATCGCTTGTGGCCCTCACAACGCGGGCTTGTAGACAGCCTCACGTACACAGCCGGCACAGACCGCTTTTGATATGACTCGGCAGGTGACTGTGATAGCCGTGTGGCGATCTGAGGTCCAGGACAACAGGGCCAACAGTGCGCGCGAGATCGGCACTTCAAACTTTTAGGGCCTGATCACACCGTTTACTAATCCAAGAGGTCTAAATTTACTAGGTTTGCAAAACTGCTCGCCGCGGAACACGTATGGAGGTGATCAAGCAGCGCCCATCAGCCCAGCCCACGCAGTTGCTCGGTACCTTCGCCCGTAGCTGCGCTTGCTGCGCTCTTGAAAGCGCTAATATGACCGAAAAAATTCTGGAAGATCAAGATGATTTGTCCCACGCAAGCAAGCTGTATCACGGTCGCAGGTGGAGTCAACCACATTCATGGATGCCAGGATTTATAGCAGCACGGGACACAAAGTATGCAAACGGGCGCTTTGGAGTGATTCCTCATAGCAATGGCGCACCTGGGACTGGCACCGCGGCAGCGACGGCGGCACGGCTGCCACGCACCCTTGAAGATGGAGCAGGTGCGGCGGCGCAGCAGTGGAGCGCGCGGCCAACTGTGCACGGATGCCCGCCATCAGGGGCCAATCCATAGCTCGCACACCGGACATCTCCAATTGTAGTCCCAGTTTATATGTCCACTGAACCAGGGGCTCAAGCATGCCTGTATCCCGCTCGGACTGTTCGCAGGTGACGGGCGTTGGGTGCTGGTTGGTGCTGGTCAGCGGGTGCTACGGCCTCATCATCCCCATGGCTGAGTTCACCAGTCAAAAGGACTTGGCTGCTGCTTTGGTGGTTTACACGGCGCTGGTAACGGCCGTCGCAGCGATGCACATTACGACCAGGTACGAGGGTCACCTCATGTTGTCGCGCAGCCAACTGGTACACGGTTGCGCACCAGCAGCCATGCAGCTGCTGTCAAGGAAGCGCAGAGGACAGCAGAGGGCTTGAATGTTTCAGAGGGCACAAGCACTGCTTTTCAGGCCGTGAGCAATGCGCAGCGGGCTCCTCCTTGCGGCAAGCCTTCCCTCAACCCCAGCAGCCCAACCAGCACAACCAGCCTTGGACAACCAGCACTCAATTGCCGAACCCCCACCATCCCACCCCACCGTTGATGAACCCACAGCTTGCTAGATCCCCAGGATCTGGAGGGCTGTGATACCTTGCCAGACGTCCCAGAGGCTGGCACCTGGTTCTGCCAGGCCTGCAAGGTCAGTGGCGGCAGCGGAGGCGGCGGTGGCTGTGTCAGAGCGCAGGGCGTGGGTGCAGGAAAGCGTGTTATTCCCCGGAGGCTGGGAAGCGCCCACAGAAGAGAATTCGGAAGCAGGACGCGCTTTCTGTCCGCTTTCTGCATCGGGCCAGCCCGCTGCATCCATTTGGCTCGCTGCCTGCTGCGCACTCCACCCTCTCACCAAACGCTGTGCATGACCCGGGCGTGCCCGGCCCCCGCAGAAGTACGCGCGCTCCGGCACCAAGCACTGCGCCTCGTGCCGCAAGTGTGTCTCGCGCTTTGACCATCACTGCGTCTGGCTCAACACCTGCATCGGCGGCCGCAACTACTGGACGTTCTTCGGGCTGCTGAACACTGTCGTAGGCTTGCTCGCAGCCGAGGCGGGCATCGGCGCCGCCATCCTTGCGCGCAGCTTGACCACCAGCAAGTCGTTTGACGCTGCGCTGCAAGCTGTATACCCGACGCTTATGCAGCCATGGGGCTACCGCGCCGCGCTGTGCGCGACCGTACTCATCTCACTGTGCCTCCTGGCTTCGCTGGCCGGCCTGTGGGCGACGCACTGGGTGCTTCTTGTCAAGGGCGCCACAACCTGGGACATGATTCGCGCGCACCTTGAGCCACGGCGCCCGGGCAGCGGCCGCCAGGGCAGCGCCGACGGCGACGGCATCCTGCGCTACGGCGGCGGCAGCGGCCGCGCATGGGTGCGGTCGGAGGGTCCAGCTTGCGGCTGCGGCGGCGTCCGGGTAGTTGACGCAGACGCCGTGGCAGCAGGCCAGGGGCAGCAGGCCTGGGCTGCATACAGCGACCAAGGTGCCGCGGGCACTGTCGCTGGTGGCCGTGGGCGGCAACACAGTAAGAGGGTCGCAATCAGCCCCTTCACAGCTCTGCGTATCGAGCCGCGCCTCGACGACAGCGCCGATGGCGGCCATGGGCGCCTGCTTGGCACCCGTGGCGCCGGGCTTCCACAAAAAGAGCCGGGCGGATTTGACGCGGCTGCAGCGGGGCCAGTCGCAGGGAGCGCGCCGATCTCCGCGTGGCAGCCGTCGCCGCGCAGCGCCGTGGGCGCCGCGGGCGCGCAGCTGCTGCCGGCGGCGCATCTCAACGATGGCGTCACATTTTCGGTCCCCTCCGAGATGGTGTGAGCTGCAACGGCACTGGTAAGGGCAGTCCCAGGCGGACTGCGCCCCGTCCGCTTTCACCGATGCGTGGTTTTGGGCAGCAGCAGCGCCCTTGCCTGCGAGGGTGTTGAGCTGCAGCATCAACGCTTGACGGGAGGGAGGGACTGGAAACTGGCTGGGCATTTCAGGGTTGGGATGTGGTACCACGCGTGCTCCCCAGCCACAATAATGGATGTTTGGTGCGCTTTTCGAGGCGACGGAGTCCGCCGCGCACGTGCTGCTGGTTGGCTTGCTCCTTTTCCTCAAGCACTGTTTGAGAGCTAATGGGTGCCATGTGCGGCCTAGCGCAATAACAGCGTTTTGTGGGGAACGCCCGTTCTTGTTTACTTGTACTGCTGGCTTGCATTCCTTTGCAGGAGCCACAATTCGCAGGCACGGTTGCCTGGTGGGGAGAGAGCTGGCAGACAAGTGAGATGCACATGCACATAATTGGGCCTGCCCTCTCAAGCATATAGGATTTACCCCTGCATTGCATGCGCGCCCTCCCCTCACACTAGAGTTACTGCTTGTGATTCTGGGCACCTGGAAGAGATTCTTGATATGCCGATTTTGGTGGCACATCACGGACCCAAGTTATTGTTTAATGTTTTCCACACCAAGTCACACATTGTGGTGTATAGTCATTGCTCGGGCGCAGACCGTGCTGCCCACCGCGACTCTCACACCTCCATGGTGGCAAATTGCCGGGGCTGACATTGAGGTGGGATCGGGTGGGGTGAGGGGGGGCCATACTGCAGCATGGTATGCCTAAGCTGCAGGTTCATGGCAGCTCAGCAACCCCACGCCATTTGCGCACCCAATCGCAGTCTGGCAGCGTTGCAAGCGCGTTGGCAGCCAGAGGGGCAGGTCGGCAAGCTGGGGCCGCGTCGGAGGCAAAAGCTCGGCACGTTGCAGCGAGATATTCGAGAACGCGTGTACATCCCCACGGATCTCCTCATTCCAAGGCTCAGCAGAAGCTCGGATCTCTCGGCTCAGTCACAATGGCTCTCCGCGCCTCCGTCAAGTGAGGAAGGCTATGAGCAGCGCCAATGTGATTCATGAGTGTGGCGTACGGTTGGAGATCCGTCCATGCAGCACATCCCGCGTAGCCCCGAACTGCGGCCTCGGGTGCCTCGCCCTGAACCCCTCATCACCCATCCACGCTTTGTCTTGCAGCTGCCGTGCGGCCTCGCGCCCTGCTGCTGCCAGCCGCAGCGCTGTGGTGGTCCGCGCCTCCGCTGAGCCCCGCCAGGTCAGGCGATGGTCTGGATTGACATCACTCGCTAGGGCACAAGGGCGCAGCGGGCATGAGCTGGCTTCAGTTGCTGGTCAGGAAGCAGTAGGATTGCAGGTCAATTGCGGCAAGCGCCTGGTAACCGCAGCAGCAAAGACGGTGCCCGATTTTGCTGACCGGCTGCGGCATAGAACTGCGGCTGATCGCGATCTCCCTGCTGTGGCGGGCGCCCCTCCTCTTGCCGCACGCCCGCAGGCCCTCGGCGCCCTGGCCTTCGGTGCCACCTTCGCGCTCTCGGCCATGCTGACCGCCGCGCCCGCCAAGGCCGACATCGTGGGTGGCCGCGCTGCAGCGGGGCAGTGGGGTTGGCCGCGATGCATGCAGCATGGCAACGCGCGCGCCGCGGCGGCGCATGTGCGCCCTGGACCAACAGCAGCACGCAAAAAATCGTTTGCCTGAGGCACCAGGGCGGGGTGTTGGTTTACATGCGTGATGGCGTGTGCGGCTTGGACCAACAAGTGTGACAACAAACCAAACATGCTTCTCATGTGCTGCAGACCGCCGACCTGCTGGCCAAGTCGGCCGAGAACAAGGCGCTCAACAACAAGAAGCGCCTGGCCACCAGCAGGTACGGCCGCATGGGATCTGGCCGCAGCAGGGCAGGGCGGGCTGGGGCTCTCCGATGGTGGCGGATCTATTGTGCGGCGGAGATAGTTGTGTTGTGGAACAGCGTCGCATAGATCGTAGCAGTTTGTGAGGGGGAGGTGGTCCAGTCGTTTACTTGCTTTGCAGCACACCACAGTGTTGGTGAAGCTCGCTGCATGCGGCCCTGCTCGCACGTTGTCGACCGATGGTGTCCATATCCCCTCGCCGACCACCCGCAGCGCCAACGTCGCGCGCTCGAGGACCGTCGCCGACGGCACCTGCAGGTGAGCCACAGCTGTAGCAGCGGCGTTTGCCAAGCAGGGGTCGTCCTTGTAGCCTGCCCGCGCTTCTGTGCACCTTGTGTTGTGCCTGCTGACCTCTTCCATCCTTCGTGCCGGCCCTAGCTGCCCCCACTAACCAATGACTATCTCCCCACCACCGACCTTTATCCCCCCTGTGCGGCAGCTTCCCCACCAACTTCTTCGGCTGCGACGAGACCTCCGCCCGCTTCACCGGCGGCGTGAGGTTCATCCAGGTGCGCGTGCACACCAGCATCACTCGCTTCACGATGAGCTTCGCCTGCCAGGGCCTGCGTGCCCCTACCCAACCCCTCTTCACCGAACCCGCCTGCAGCTTGCGCTTGTTACCAGTACTGTCGCTTGTCAACCTGCTCGACACCTGGATTATCACCCCTAACACGCCACCCGCAGGACGACGTTGACCTGGAGTGCGCGGGCACCGCCAACGGCCGCTGCGCCAGCAAGGTCAACCACAACTAGTAAGTGGCCAGAAGAGAGCGGGAGTCACGACTGCGTGGATGGCTTACCAACGATATGTACAATGCCTTATCCTACGACGTGTGACCCGCAGGGAGTCAGTGGGTCTTTTCAGACAAATCGCCTGCTGCATAGGCTAGTTAGAGATTTGGCCTCCCATCTCGCAGCCACTCAAGGCCTCCCTCGCCCGCTTGTCCCGCTACCACCCCCAATCCGCAGCGGCGCCAAGGGCTTCTAAGCTTGCGACTCCGCTTCCTCCCGAGTGTTGGCGCTTCAGCGTTGTAGGACCTTGCTCCCTTTTTGCGACACCCTCGCTGGGCTCGATGGTGATCTGGGCAGGTCAGCCTGTGTAACTTCCCTGCAATCTGTTTGTCACAGGCATCGGGAAGCAGCCGGCTAGAGATGGGGTACAATGCTGAAAGCTTTTGTTGAAGAACCAAAAGTGATGGATGGCACCCTTATTCCAGCAGTAGCCTGGAATGGCAGACCAAAGGTGTTTGAAAGGCTCTATTTTACCCTCCAGGCACGAGAAGCAGATGGGACAGCACGACCGAGAACATGAAACCATGCGGTGTGCATCAAATCGTTTTCAAGGAACGCTGTAGCAAGTTGGCAACCGGCAGCAACTCCATGTGACGAGCTGCATGGCTGTCAGATGGTAAAAGTAGAGAAATGATCAAACTGCAAGCGTGTCCACGCCAGCCACCTGCATGGCAGGTCATGCCAGCTGCCCTGTGGTTGCTGCAACACTTCCGCTGTCAGCTGCAGCCCTCTCTGCCCCACTGCCGCCGCTGGCCCGGCTGCACACCACCTCGCCCACAAACGGTGCGAGCACCGCCAGCAGCGCAGCCGGGTCCTCTTCGTGCGACAGGTGCCCGCAGCCTGGCACAATCCCCACACGCCCGCTGATCGTGGCGGCGAGCCGCCCTGTGTTGACCGGCGTCGCAATGCGATCGTGCGCGCCCGTCGCGACGAGCGCGGGCACGCCGCGCGCCGCGGCTACGTCCGCGGCCACCGCGCGGCGCGAGAGCCCGTCGGCGGCGGTGCTGGCGGCGAGCAGGGCTGTGTCCCAGCCCTCTGCCCGCAGGGGGCGGCGGTAGAGCTCCAGGACCTGGCGCGTGCAACGGTCGCCGCGGTGCCACGCGCGGCGGTTGGCGACCTCGCCTGGGGATGACAGCGTGGAAAAACCGCAGGGGCGGGGATGACAGCGAGGGGAAAGTCTACTCTCAGGGCTTTGAGAGCATGAATCAAATGTTGAAGCGACCCCGGGGGACAGCGAGTAACGGCGGCGGCCTCCCCAGGTGGGCGATGCTGAAGTGGGTGGCGATCCACTGCATGCTCGGCAATTAGTGAACAACAGACCAGAAGCGGCGGCGCGGGCGCCCACAGCGCAGAGCGCCCACCTATCTCCGACCGCAGCAGCGGCCGCAGCATCGCGCGCCCCAGCTTGGCGCGCGCCAGCAGCCGCGTGAACCCGCTGACCGTCTGACCAGACAGCTTCGGGTGCAGCAGGGCAATCCCGATGACGTCAGCATCAAATTGGGCCTCAAGGGATTCAGCCCGGCCGCCCAGCAGGATGAAACTGCGGCCGACCCGCTGCTGCTGCTCGCCATGCTGAGGCTCCGAATGAATCTCCGGCGAGTGCGCTGGAGACAATGCAGGCGAGCTGGGCGGCCGCTCGTGCTGATACGGGTGCTGCTGCGGGCACTGCTGCTGTTGCTGCTGCTGCTGCCCCGCCCGGGGCCATAGCTGCGGCTCGAGACCGGCGGCACCGCCGCTCGGTGTCATCGCCTGCAGCTCAGGCGCCACTGCCGCCGCCAATGTGCATTCCGGCTCTCCACGCCAGCCTGCCGTCGCTTGCCGCTGCTGCTCAGATCCCCGCTCCCCGTCAGCGGCTGCCCGCTGTGACAGCCGCGACGGCGCCCCGCCCTGCTTTTGCTGCTGTTGTTGCTGCTGCTGCTGTGGCTGCTGTTGCTTCTGAGAGGATGATGGTGATGTGTGGTAGCTGACGCGACCGTTCGGCTCCTCCAAGCTGGCCACACGATCTGTTTGCTGCTGATCCAGGGAGCCCAACCCCTCCGTGGGCGCCAGCAGCGACTGGAAGCTGATGGAGGCGGCCATACTCGCCACCTCGCTCCCGCTGCCAATTCGGCCCATCAAACTGTCCACTGCGCTGCCGCCTGCGACGCCGCCGCCACATTCAGGCGATGCAAGCAAGCCCTGCTGCTGCTGCCGCTGCTGCTGCTGCTGTGGGTGCTGCCGCTGCTGCTGCTGCTGTTGCTGCCGCTGCTGCCGCGCCTCGGCCGCACACGCACCTCTGCCGCCGTGCGAGGAGCCGAGGGGCTCCGCGTTGGAGGATCCAATGCTCGGGGGCCACCCGAGGTCGGTGGACTCGGCTCCTGCCAGGCCACTGGGCAGTGATATGGATATACGCCGGCTGAGGCTGCCGCCCGCACCAGGCAGGGCCCCCAAGCCGTGCTGCCTGGAGAGATGGTTCGGGTGAAGGGCTTAGGGCTTAGGTTCAGGGAGATGGTTAGGGCACGAGTGAGCAATGGCAATCAAGCATGCATTTACTGCATTTGCTTTCAACCTCTGGCACTCAGGCCGCACGAGCACGAGCACTAGACCCTTCGACGTCACTTGCCTGTTGGCCAGCGCCGCCGCCATTACCGCAATCAGGCAGCCATCCCCATGAGCCACCAGCACTGCCCGCCGCACGCCGAGCGCGCCGCACAACTGCAGCACGAGTAATGCCTGCGCCGCGGGCGCGTACGGGTCGGGCCGCCCGCTGCCGGCTGGCGGTGGCGGCGGGCGCGACGTCAGGCCAAAGCCCGGCCTGTCAAAGGCCACAACGCGCACGCCGCAGTGCTCTGCCAGCTGCGCCATGACGTGGCGCCACGAAAAGGCGCCGCCGCCGCCGCTGTGGATGAGTATCACGGCGGTCGCGTCCCGCTCGTCGTCATTGGCACCGGGCAGTGGTCGCGCCAGGACCAATTGTTGCTGCTGCTGCTGCTGCTGCTGCTGCTGGGCGTCCTGCATGCCATGAGGCCACCCCTGCGGCCGCTTGGTGGGGCTATCCGAGGGCGGCGGCAGCGCCTCCTTCCAGTGCACCCAGAGCTCCCCAACAGGCGTGAAGTTTGAGTCGGGGTCGGCCAGTAGCTCGGGCGGCACGTCCCCGCGGCTGGCGCCTGCGCTGCCGTCGTCGCTGGCGCCGGCCGCGCCGGGCGTGCTTATGCTGGCCCTTGTGGATGGGTCGAGAGGTGGGCGCGCTCACCACATTGCGGGTGTTGTGCATTTAGCACTGCGCATCAAACAGCATTGTGCCGCCAGCGGCAGCTCAAGAGGAAAATCCCAAATAGGAAGGACAGACATCCCCAAGTTGCCCCTCCCCGCCCTGCCTGCCACCCTACCTGCCAGGCAGCAGGCGGTCCTGCAGCGCCGGTTCCCAGGGGAATGACGCGAGCCCAAGCGCCGTACGCTTGCGCGCCCATGCAACCGCGTTGCGCGCCGCTAGAACGTGGATCCAGCTGAACATGCCGAACACGCCGATGATTGCGGCCTGGGCTGGCCAGATGGGGCCGTACACGAAGCACAGGGCCTTGGCGAGCGCATACGCCAGGCCGGTGCCGCCGGCTGCATAGGCGGTGTACAGGTAGGGCCTGCGGAAAAGGATTGAGGAGGGGGAAAGCAATGCCGCCGCAGGTGACCACTGCCATGCAGCCGCGCTGCTCGGCGTGCGCCCCACCTGTTGCTCGACTGGTGTGGACGCCTAAAGAAGCAGCGCTGCCAGGCGGGCGCTTCACCTCACGCGACATGAGGTTTGCAGCCGCCTCTCCAGATCTATGTGCCGAGGGAAGCCTACCTGAGGAACTGGCGGCGCGTGCCGTATGCGTAAGTCCCGCTGATGATGGCTGCGCGCACTGTGCTGGCAGCTGCGATGTCCTCCAAGTTGTAACGGAAGTTGAACACCGGCCGCGCCGGGCCTGGGGGGCCGGGCGCCAGCAGGAAGCACATGAGAAGCACACTGACGGCCTCAAAGATAGATAGCACCCAGGGAGCCTGTGTATGGCGGGCACACGGTGGTCTGAGTGCGGCACTGCGGCTCGCAAGAACGGGGGCACACCCCGGCACCTGGTGACTGTGACCTGGGTGCCCCCGAGGCAAATCTGCCGCCCTGGGGCCGCCTGCAGGCGTAAATCACAAGCTGTGTGTTGCTTTGTACTCACCACTGCCTGAAAGAGGGTGCCGGTGCAGACAAGGCAGAACCCTGTAAAGCGCAGGCACCGATTGCAACGGTCGCTGCAAGCCGCGCGCGGGCGGCCAAACGGCGCCTGCTGTGTGGGCAGCTCGTCATCGATCTGTGTGGGATTAACGCAAGCATCTTGAGTGCTGAAAAAAGGCGTTGTCTTCAACCCAGCTACAGATGCAATCAATTCGCTGCGACCACCCAGATCGCCTCTCAGAGCACGCCCACAGCTCACAGTAAAGCGGATGTAGCGCTTCGAATTGGGCCTCATTCTCGCGGGAGCTGGCTGACAAGCGATGACAGTTGCGGGCCCCGTTCAACAGCCTTCTACGAACTCATTGCAGAGAACGAGGCAGCAGACAGCACGCCTCTTGTGAAAACGGGCAGCACACCCGGTGACAGCTGCATACATGCTGGCCACAGAGGACCGAAAGCAGCTGGGGGGTAGCCAGGGCCTCGTTCCACCCTGGTTCCACCCGTTGTCCGCCTCGTTGCCTGGCGCCAGCGCGGCATGAAGATGACTGCGGGTGCTGCAGACCATGGATGCCTCCTCATAGACTGTGCAGGGCGGCCATGCCGGGGATGGCACTGGTGACGTTGCAGGGCGTTCAAGTTGACGCCTTTCACACAGCACATGCAGGGTGCAGCATCACGCCATGCGGGCCTGCGGGTGATTCGAAGGCAGAGCATGTTCCCCTGATTGCTTTCCTCAGCATGAAATCATCAGCATACCACGTACCCGCTGCTCGTCACCTCAACACTGAACTTGGCGCATGGCCATGCCTGTACCCATGGTGGGAGTGTCTTGAACTGGGACGTTGCCAACCATAATGCGGGGGTGAATGTATTCCCAGGCCTCACACAGGCTTAAACAGAATGCACCTGCACCTGCACCTGCACCTCACAGCGAGTACCGCACAATCCAAGATTGGCGGTGCAGGAAACCATCAAACTGGCTTGGGGGGAAATGCAGGGCTCATGGATGCATGTACGGCTGCGACATTTGCGAGCACAGTACCATCTGTATGTACACCGTGCAATGGAGCACAAACACAGGGCCTGTGGGTGTGGATGCGATGACGCCGCCGCCCTACCCCCAGGGGGCCCCAGCACTAGCGCAAGCAGCAATACCAGCAGAACGAGGATCACCGCATCAGATCTGAGTTCCGACGCACTGTGGCAACATACATTATTTTAGACTATGGTTTTCGTATATACATGGCACCAAACACATATATGCGACTCTCAACACGGACTCTCAACCGCGGCCTGCGGCAGCACACAACACGGCGTGGTACCAGCTAGCACGCCAGCAGGATCAACTGACACAATCACTATCAGTAATTAAAGTTGATCCAGACGTCCGCTGCACATCCGTTTTGGTCCAAAGCGCTGCAACCGTCACTGCAACCAGCACACGGGCTTGAAGCCAGCGTAATGGGTCCGAAGTAGAGCATATTGAACCGCTCCTCTGCGACGCACGCGCGTCGGGCGTGCAGCGATGGCGAGCAAACGCGGGTTGGAGATGCAGCTGGATGTGCTGTTCAGCTACAGGTTCCCGCAGCAGCTAGCAGTATTGCTTTACAAGAATGGTGAGCTTGCTTGCTGCGTGCTGTGGTGGCATGCGCGCGCGCCTGGGCTGGCGCACTGCAAACTGCGTTGACCATCCGCTGCTGCGTGGCCTTGCCAACCCTTCTGCTGCGGGGCGATTACACATCGACTTTGGAGGCAGAGATTGACTGCACGAATACGCCATGCAGGGTCGGGGGCTGCGGCCATTGACCGCGACGCTGTCCCTGCTCGCACGCATGTGGGCCCTCTCAACCCCAATTGCAAGTTCTTGCACGCCCCGCTGCCAACACCCGAGCCTGCTGCTCCGAAACACAACCTGCTCTCTTGCAGTGCTGGTGGCATGGCGCAGCCGCCGCTCCACCGTGTTGCGCTTTCTGGCGCCCATGCTGTTCCTGGTGCTGGCGCTGGTGATGCAGATTGCGCTTGATGCGAGCCTCGCAGCGGAGGGCCGCTATCGGCCCATCACAACTGGGGTGCGGCAAGACCTCTCCACCATTCCAGACTGCAACAGCGACATTTACATCCATGACCGACCATGTGTGACGCTGATCTACACACCCAGCACAAATCCTGTTGTGCAGGTGAGCTCGCCGTTGGCAATTTGGGCAGGTGGCGGCTGGACCACGAGAGTGTCTAGCGTGGGCGGCAGCGCAATGGCGATTTGCAGCTGGCTCCTTGAAAATCAGCGGCGCTTGTAGAAAGCGCTCAAGCGGTTGTTTCTTGACATTCAGCCAGGCTGTGCTTGTTAGCATTTCACCGCTTGTTGCATGCGGCCCATTGTCTCACCCCCTCCCCTTCCACTTCCCATTCTGCCGTCCCGCAGCAAATTATACAGCGCATACGAACCAATAATAGCCCAGAAATACCAGCCCACAAGGTCTTGGGCTTCCCAGACAGAGCAGCGGCTGAGGCGTACATGGGGGCATACCGCGACACAGTCCTGGGCGCCGTTCACTTTTTGGAGGCGCCAGGCGGTGGGCTGCAGTACCTGCTGCAGAGCAACTCTAACGTGAGCGGGAACCGCACACGGGGTGCAGCAATGCACTTGCCGCAACGCGTTGCACATAACTGCGCAGTACCGGAGGGACCCGGCCATGCGCAATACGAGAAGCACGCAGCCGCTGGGCCACACAGCAGTAATTTGGTTGCAGCAAACCAGACGCGGGCGTTCCGTGGAACTTCTTCCCCTTGCCATGAGCTGGATCCAACTCAAACCCTGGGCACCCCTGCCCTGCCTGCCTCCCAACAGGCCAAAACATTCAAGTCGTTTGTGCAGGACCCCCAGGTTTTCTGGCAGTCGCCCGTCATGTCGGCGGTGTCGCGGGAGCTCGCGCGCCAGGCGCTGCTCGACGAGGGCCGCGCCGGCGACGCGGACTCCCTCGCGTGGAGCCCGCTGCTCGTGCGGTTCCCACACCCGGAGATGACGACGCTGTCGTTCACGGGACGCGTGATCGCGCCCTGCATATTCGCAGCCTGCATGTTTGGCGCCGTCACACAGGTGGGCTTCGTTGCTGGCAGGCGCGCAGCACGGCGCGTGGAAGTCTGGGGCAGTGCAAGGGCCCCACCGTACTGCTGAGTGCGAGGACAGCTACGGATCTTACAATTACATGAGAGCGGTGGGATGGCGCAGCATAGACTCACAGAAACCCCGCACCCTCGCACACATGTGGTCATTACGACTGCCGCAGATGGCCCAGATCGTGTCTGAGAAGGACTCTGGGCTGCGGCAGGCAATGCGCACGATGGGGCTGATGGACAGCAGCTACTGGGCCAGCTGGGTGCTGTTTGACCTGGCTTTTGGCACCCTGCTGACCCTGGCAATTCTGTTCTCAGGTTGGACATGGAGGGAGGGGGGCGCTGCAGGAGAGAAAGGGCGCTCAGCCCGGGCATCTCGCAGCATCGCCTGAGCTGATGCAGCCGCGACCGGCCCAATGTCTCACTGTGTGACAGGCGGCAGCTTCGCAAACAGGCAGTGAGAACCATTGACTGCGTGCCGCTTCTCATACGTGTGATGCTGCCTTTCCTTTGCCAGGCATGATCCTGCGCTTCAGGTTCTTCCTGGTGAATGACTTCGGGCTGCTGTTTGCGCTCTTCTGGCTGTTCCTAGCGGCCATCTCTGGGTTCACATACTTTGTGACGGCCTTTATTGGCAAACCCCAGGCAGCCGTGTACGCCGGCTTCATTGTGTTCCTGGTGAGGGATGGCGGCTGGTGGTGTGAGCAGAGGGTCCAGGTGGCGATTGAAGTCACCTTGCAAGGGCGTGATGGCAGCTGAAGGGCGCCGGAGGAAGTCGCAGAGGCAGCTGGCCGCCTGTCAGCATGCTCTGCGTCAATCACGTTTGTTAAGAGAGCGCTTGGGAGCGACTGCTGCTGCTGCTGCTGCTGCTGCTGCTGCTGCAGCAGCAGCAGCAGCAGCAGCAGCAGCTGCAGTAGCTAGTTGGCAGGCTTGGGGTTGTGTGGAGGCCAGACCCCTGTGCCCATCCCCCATTCCCGTCGCACGCACGCCCCGTGCCGCACTCCCCAGGCCGGCTGGACGTTCCAGGGCATCGTGACCTACGGCCTGCCCTACACGCCGTCATTCTTCTACGAGAGCAGCCCTGTCAAGCGCGTGTACCACCGCGCCATCTACTGGCTGTTCTCGCTCATGCCCTGGAACCCCCTGGTCAAGGCGATCCTCGACATGGCGTCCGCAACCAACACGGACGTGATGCCCGGCATCAGATGGGCCGAGCGCGACTCGTACTGCACCGCAACGCCGCCCGGGGAGCACGACGGATACGACCCCGCGACGACCTGGAGGGACTTTGCATGCGTCTTCCCAGTGGGCCAGTGCCTGGTGGCGCTGGCGCTGCAGTTCCTCTGCTACACAGCCCTGGCCGTGTGGCTCGACAACGTGCTGCCCAATGCGCTGGGCGTGTCGCGTTCCCCGCTGTTCTTCCTGCACCGTGCGTTCTGGCGCCCGCGGCCCGCGGAGCAGGGGGAGGCGCTCGCGCGGCTGGTGGCGGAGGGGGAGGCGCGCGCGGCGGCGCTCAAGATGTCTGCAAAGGCCAACACGCGGCTGAGCGTGGCGGGGGGCCCTGACGAGGACGAGGACGTGGGGGAGGAGTCGGCCCGGCTCAAGCTCAGCCTGGGGTCCAAGCTCAACGGCGCCCTCAAGGCGGAGCAGAGCGAGTGGCTGGGCCTCGGCAAGGGCCGTCCTGGCGGCGGCGCGGCGGCCGCGCGCGGCGTCCGGCGCCGCAGCAGCGCCAGTGGAGCCGGCAGCAGTGGCGGGGGCGGCGGCGGGGGCGGCGCGCCGCACGATGCGGCGCACCAGCGGCAGTGGCAGGTGATCAGGGAGCACGTGCCCAGCTCGAATCTGGACTATGCTGTCGAGGTGTTTGGCCTGCAGAAGGTCTTCCGGCTGAGCTGGTGGGCCAAGAACATGCCGCGGTGGCTCGGCGGCTCCCCGGCCGGGCGCGACTTCTGGGCCATCAAGGACAGCTGGTTTGGCATCGAGCAGGGCAGCCTGTTCTGCCTGCTGGGGCCCAACGGCGCCGGCAAGACGACGACAATCAACTGCCTCACAGGTGGGGGGCTTGAGCAGAAACCTGGGACGCCTGAGGTGGACCCGCAGTGGCGCTGGCAGCGGCTGACTGTCTACCCGACGGCAGCACGGGTGTGATTCCCGCGTGTATTGACGTGGACGGCGTGTCTGTGCAGGCCAGGCAGTGGCTCACATATTTAATTGCGGCAGTGTTCCCAAATCCCACCAACACCTACCGAACCCCTCGCATTCCAGGCGCGCTGCCGCCCACCGCGGGGGATGCACTGGTGCACGGCGAGTCTCTCTGTGGCGAGGGCGGCCTGGATCGCGTGCGGTCGCTGATGGGCGTGTGCCCGCAGTTTGACGTCCTGTGGAACGAGCTCAGCGGCGTCGAGCACCTCACCATCTACGGTCACATCAAGGGGCTAAAATTCAGCGAGGTGCGCGTGCGTCAATGCATGTGTCTGTCTGTGTCTGCTCATGTGAGCGAGAAGGAACGAGCGCGAGCGAGATCGTGTGCGTGCGTGTGTGTGTGTGTGTGTGTGTGATTGATTGAATGTGCACATATGTGTGCGCACACGCGTAGCGATGTGATGTGCTCGCCTGCGTGAAAGAGAGAGAGAGAGTGGGGGAGTGTGAGAGTGAGGGAGTGTGTGTGTGCGAGAGAAAGTGCGTGCGTGGTTGTGTGTGTGTGTGTGTGTGTTGCGTGTGTTGCGTGTGCAAGCCTGCACGTGCCTGTATGTATGCTGTATCGCCTTGCACAAACATGCCCTCAAACAAGACGACCCGTCAGCCTGGCCTTGTCGGCGATCTGGAGTCCCCCAAGGCCCACAACCCCGCCTCTCCACACCACCAGGTGCCCCTCCACGCCGCCGACCTGCTGGAGAAGGTGAAGCTGACGTATGCCGGCTCCGTCCGCAGCGGCAGCTACAGCGGCGGCATGAAGCGGCGGCTGAGCGTGGCCATGGCGCTGCTGGGGGACCCAAAGATTGTCTACCTGGATGAGCCCACCACAGGAATGGTGCGTGTGCCCGTTTTGGTGTGTACGAAGGGGGGTCGGAGTGTGTAACTGGTGTGTGTGTGTGCGGGTGCGCGTGCGTGTGTGTGTGTGTGTGTGTGTGTGTGTGTGTGTGTGTGTGTGTGTGTGCGGGCGCGCGTGCGTGTGTGTGTGTGTGTGTTGTGTGTGTGCACGCACATAAACACTTGCAGGCGTGTCGGTAAATGTACTACGGGTCAGAGCACTTGTGGGTATAAACTTGCTGACCTTAGTTGCACTGCTGCGTTTCAGAAGCGGATCTGTAGCAGATAGTGAGGGCGTCTAAACCTCAGTTTGCTGGGTGCGATTTGCCTCTTTCCAGCAGAGTGCCCCACCATTCAACCTCTATCATTATTGCGATGCTGTGCTGCCCAGGAGCGTGTGCTCATTCAAACACCTCCACAAAACCCTTGCACCGCTTTGCAGGACCCCATCAGCCGGCGCTACGTGTGGGACATCATCCAGGAGGCCAAGGCAGGCCGCGCCATCGTGCTGACAACGCACTCCATGGAGGAGGCTGACATCCTGGGGGACAGGATCGCCATCATGGCGCGCGGCCGCCTCAAGGCCATCGGCAGCAGCATACGCCTCAAGCAGAAGTACGGCGCCGGCTACACGCTCGCCGTCTCGGTGCAGCACCCCGCCGCGGGCGACAACAGCCTCGAGGCACTGGCGGCGCGCGCGGAGGGCGTGCGGGACTTCTTCCTCGCCCGGCTGGGGCTGCTGCCGTTCGATGAGGGGCGCGCGCACCTGCACTACCTCGTGCCGCGCGAGCAGGAGGCGCGGCTGGGGGCGGTGCTGGTGGAGTTGGAGCGGCAGCGGGGCGCGATGGGCGTGAGCGACGTGCAGCTGAGCCTCACCAGCCTGGAGGAGGTTTTCCTCACAATCGCGCGCAAGGTGGGGCGGCGGGCCGGGCGGGCGGCGATGGGATGGGGCGAGGCGTCGTGTTTTGGGGTCTTGCGTGCGGGGAATCTGCCGCCACGCCCCTTTCTTTGGTGTCCCGGGCCAGTAATTCAATTCTCAGGGTCTGAAACTTCTTCGACGCCCTCACACCAACCTGCTCGCGGCGCGCCCACGCCAGGCCGAGCTGGCCGCCGCGGAGGCGCACGGCACGACAACTGTCGAGGTCCCACTGCCCGACGGCGGCGTGCTGCACGTCGCGCTGGGGCAGGACCAGGGCGTGAACCCCGCGGATGGCCGCGTGTACGCAATCAAGTGGGCGCAGGACGACGCCGGGCGCCTCGTGGTGCTGGACGTGCTGCCGCTCGGCGCGCAGGCGCCGGGGGTCGGGATCCCGGGCTTGGACGGCACCGGCGCGGCCGCGCGGCGGCCGTCGGGCGCGGGGCTGCGGCGCCGCGGCCACGCGCCGGGCGGCGTCAGGCGCACGTCGAGCCTGTCGCAGATGCTCAGCGCGGGCATCGAGATGCTGCTCGGCGGCAAGGCCTCCCCGGCGTCGCTGGGCCATGGCAGCGCGCACAGCAGCAGCGGCGGCTGCGCAAACGGCCTGGGGAGCAGCGGCGGGCCGGCGGGCGGCGCGAGGGCGTGGCCGCGCAACAGCAGCGGCGGCGGCGCGGCGGCGGAGCTCGGGGAGCGTGGCTATCGGATCAGCGGCGCGGGGCCGGGGCCGCAGGCGGGCCTGCCCCCTATCCCCGGGCGAGGTGCGCCTGGCCATGCGCCGCGTAGCCATTGGTGATTCATTAAGGCTCCGTTCGCTGCAAGCAGGGGCTGGGAAGGCCGCTGGGTCCTAGAGCATGCAGGTTCATTCGAGATCTCCACTGTTTTCCTTACCACTGCAATTCGCTGCTTAGCGAACCGGGCCGTAGCCGTCGGCCGCCCCGGAAACCGCGCACGCGCGGCTGTCACTCGAACATTATTCAAGCCCATGTGTGGGTCGGTGCCACGGCTGCTTCCTGCGCGCTGTGGCGCGCACAACAGCGACCGCTGCCACGGCCGGCCGATGTGTTGCGCGAGAGAGGTACTGCGGCTTCGCTGTAAATCAAGGCGAGCCACTGAGATGGGGGGGGGGGGCATGCGAGCGCAGGCCGAGGAGAGGGGGGGGCGCTGCGGTGCCAGCCCCCGCCCAGTGTGCGGCGAACCATCAGCCTAAAGCTCTTGGGATGGTGGCCATGTTTGAACGAAAATGTATGCTGTTCGTTGGAATGTACCACTTACTGCAGGCGCCACGGCAGTGTTGGTTGGTGTACACATACAGTCTCGACAGCAATGAATAAGGGCCAAGAAAAATACGCCAAGATGCATGGCAGACAGGGCAGTGCCACAGAATGACTTGAGTGAACACCATCAATGCGCTGGCACGACCTCATCAGAGGGAAGGTTGTCAGAGGCAGTAAACACTCAAAGTGCCAAAGAGACCCAGCTTTGCAAATACAAGCCCTGCCCAACCTCAGCAACCTGACACTCACGACACGCGCTCCGCGTGCTGCGCCCTGAAGCTGCTGTGCAGCTGCACCACCTTCGTCACCAGCAGCCGCTCGATGTGAGGCTCCGCCGCCGGCCGCCGCACGTCCACCACTGTCAACCCCGCCGGCGCGCCCGCCGGCCGAGCCTGCGACGCCGCGTCTCCGTTGCCGCCGCCGTCGGCGCCGCCGCTGCTGCTGCTGCTACCGCCATCGCCGCTGCCGCCGCCGTGCACCACCATCACGCGGTCCTTGCGTGTGTGAAGAAGGTTGGCGACAACGGCGTGCACGCCGTATCGTGTCACTGCTCCTGACGCCTGTGCGGCCGGGGGCAGTAAGTGGCTGGCTTTGTGTGTGATTGCACACAGATTAGTGCGTTGCATAAGCGTACAGACAGCACGCAAACTTGAGTTGCAATGTGCACGAGTGGGTGATAACCATTTCAGCCTGAATGGGTCGGGCCAAACATCCGGTCCCAGATTTGCACCAGGCACTGGCTAGGTGAGACGCGATGTCAGCCCGCTCGCAACACCCACGCACGCGCACGCGCCCCCCCTCCCCCGGCCGCTGGCCGCCCCCCCCCCTCGCCTTTGCTAGCAGGATGCTTTCGTCGGTCTCCAGCTTGAAGCTCACGACAAACGCGCCCGGCGCCCAGCTGCGCCGCAGCACGCCCAGCATCTTGGGCACCTTGGAGAGGTTCAGGGCCAGGGGGCCGTCGGCGCTCTGGATCTTGTGTACGGCCTGGTGGGGTGTAGGGTTTGGGTGGGGTTGCTTGCAGGGTTGAGGTCCTGAGAGTCGGTGATTCGCGGCATGCCAGGGGTCGATGATAGCAGTTTAATTCAGCGATGTGGGGCGTTCCGCCGGCGAGCCGCGTGCAGCTGCCGTGCCGCGTCGCCCTGGGGCCGCGAGAGGGGGGTGCGCCGCGCTGTGCTGCGCGCACGTGCGCTCCCCGGAGACGCACCAGGGACGCCCAGGGTATGTAGAAGTCAGACACCGCCGCAGCAAGGTAGAACATGCAGGCGGCGCCGTAGGGCGCCGCTGCCAGGGCGACGGCTCGGAAACACTGCGGGTACGGACCACGGGGCGGCGGGGGACCATGCAAGGGAGAGGGAATCATGCTGGCCGGAGCGCGAGAGCCGACGGGCGAGCGGAACGGAGGGCTTGCCGGCTGCGCCACCCGCTGCGCTTACGGGGCCGGCTGGCGTCAAGCCCCTCGCTGCTCTCACAGCCAGCCCTCCCGGCCAGGGGTTGCGCGGCCGGCGCGCACCTGCAGGTACTCAAAAATGGTGGTGAACTGGATCGTCAGCAGCAGCCGCCGCTCCTGCACCGCAGCCACGCGCCGCAGCACGCCCAGTACGCTCTCCTCGTGAGTCGCCGCCAGCCGCGCGCCGCTGCCGCCGCCGATGTCGCCGCCGCTGTCGCTGCGGTCTATGATTTCCTGGAGCAGCGCCACTGTGTCTTGCTTTGGCAGGTCAAGGGTCCACGGCTGCACTGAGCCAGTGCGCGTGAGGAAGATAACAGCGTAGCCCGCCTGCCACGAGAGAAGATGGGCAGTTGGCTGGGTCCCACAAACCACTCAAAAATACTGTGTGCGGGCTTGCAAGCTTTTTAGGCTTAATACAGGCCTGCAGAATGCAGAGCTTCCGTTTGCATGCTGCGGTTCGCACGTGTGCATGGCGTCAAAGGCGCTCTGCTGCGTCAGCGCAGCAACAGCAATGCCGCAAAAGCGGCCGGCGCATGGCGCGCCTCCAGGAACTCCTGAGTCGACATGGCGCCGCGGGTGCCCGCGCTGAAGTTGTCGATGTAGCGGACGCAGTTACGCTCCATTGGAACGGTGGTTCCACCCGACGTGACGCACACGACCGGCCGCTCCAGCCTGCCATTAGGAGCGTGGTGCCGGAAGAACTCGGCGATCTGCTGTTGAGCCTCCACCGATGAGGCGGGGCACTCGAAGTAGAAGCCCTCCACCTCTGCTGTTGTGGCCACGTCCATTGAGCCCGCCAGATCAGGCCGCTGCACCAGCGCAAGTTTTCTTCTCAGGGGTGCACTGCGCTGCAAAAGGCAATTCGATGAGTTTGACAATTCTTCCAAGTTGAGAAGGAAGGTACGTGCTGGTGTATAAGGGATGCAGCCGGCACCTGACCTGCGCCGCATGGCTCAACACCCTTGCTCACTTGCCGACCTGCTGCTCGTTGGCTCCGAGCCTTTCTTCCTCTCACACTCGCCTGTGGCAATGCCGGCACAAACCGTAATGGCTCCACACATTGCAGCCTTCTGCCTGCTGTCAATGGCCGAGGGCAACGCCTCATGTTGACCCCTTTGACCCAAGGCCCAGCCCATTGTCGCAGCCGCACGAGACATGTCTATTCCGCTACTGCGACTTCAAGCAACGCTGTTTGCTGACGTGCACGCAGATTCACCAAAGCGCTGGTGCTCAGCACGCCTGCTGCTGTGCCAGCAGTGCCGAAAGCACATGTGCATCCATTGCTTGACCGCTCAGCAGCTGTCTCTCGCACAGGCGCCGCCGTGTCCACAGGCCAACCCTGTACGCACTTCCACACGCGCATGCACACACGAACACACACCCACACACACTCTCTCTCTCAAGCTGTTGCAGGTGGATGCGGGCAAGTATACCTTTGATGTGGGCACCGCTTTACAGCGGCCGCAATCCTCCTGTCAAGCGTCATCATCATCGCCTCCATCACGGACGCCGCCCGGAGCGCCGTCCTCATCGCTGCCGCCTCCGTGGCCTCCCAGGCCGTCCATGCCGCCACGCCCGCCGCCGCCGCCGCTCGCGCGCCCCCTGCGCTGCTGCCCGCCGCGCTCGTCGCGGCTCTCCCGCAGGAACGCGCGCACCGCCTCGGGCAGCGCCGCCTCCTGCAGGCCGCCCACAAACATGACCTTCTTGTAGAGGTCGGAGAAGTTCTCGTCAGTGCCGTACTTGAGGCTGCGCACCGCGCGGAAGCCGTCGCTCCACTCACTCTGCAGGCCGCCGCCGCCGGCGCTGAAGAGGTAGTCCCCTGCCAGCTGCTCAAACTCCTCCGCCTCGCGGCGGGCGCGCGCCTCCCTGGTGCCGTGCGCACAGGGAGGGCGTACCAGGCGTTGTCGGGGGTTTGTGCGCACATACACACGTTTGTAAACGCACGCACACGCGCGCGCACATCCACACACGCATACGCACGCACGCACGCACAAGCACACGCACACTCACACACTCACACACTCGTGCACACACACACACACACACACACACACACACACACACACTCGCGCACACACACACACACACAAACACACACACACACACATAACAGCATGCGCAAGCGCACATGGATGGACCACACAGGTAAAACCCTGCCGCAAAGTCTGTCCCCCCTCACGAAAGGCACATGACAAGCCCTTTGCTCCTGCCCCGCCATGACCAATATGCATCCCTTCGCCCACCGTTCGTGGTACTTGTGCTTGCGGTGCCGGGCAGTGGCCCTGCTCTCGCGCGTGGCGGCCAGCATGTGCTCCAGGTGAGCGCCCAGGGCCTCGCCCGGCAGGTCCTTCGCCACCAGCAGCAGCAGGCGCAGGCACTCGCTGTGCACCTGCGGCGCGCCGGCAGGCCGACACAGGCAGGGGGCCAGCATGACCAGGGCAAGTGGTCGCGATGACTGGAGAAGCGACCGACCAAGCTTGGTCGCGCCTCACGACCCCGAAGGGCGGGCGCCTGCTGAAGCCGCGCCGGCTGGCGGCGGTGTGGAGAGTTGCGGCCGCGGCCGCGCCGCGCGCACCTGGCTGTGCGCGTCCAGCAGCTGCAGCAGGACACCTTCGAAGGCCAGCGCCCAGAAGGAGCCGCCCGGGTGCAGGGCGCCGCAGCGCACCAGGTCCTGCAGCTCGCCTATGGGTGAAGGGGTGAAGGGGTGAAGGGGTGGCGTGTGTGTGTGTGTGTGTGTGTGTGTGTGTGTGTGTGTGCGCACGCGTGTGTGTGCGCACGCGTGTGTGTGCGCACGCAAGCGCATGCACACGTGCATGCGATTGAGCGCATGGCTTGCGTTTGCGTGCCTGCGATTGCAAGACAGGGCGCATGTCAAAACATCTGGATGCCGTAATGAAGGATCAACACATATTTCAATCTGTCGAGCAGCGCCCGCAGTGCCTGAGCGGTGCGCGCGTGGCGCCGTGACACCTGCAATAGACACCACGCATCGGGATGCGCGGTGCAGGGTCGCAACCCCCACGCGCAGCGCAGCGCCCCAGCGCGCACCCGCGAGCGAGTAGGCGAAGGGCGCGTACTCTGGCAGCGCGCTGCGGAAGGCCCAGTGGCTGGAGTCGCGCATGAGCGTCAGCAGCAGCCGCGCGGTGACCAGGTCGTGGGATGACAGGCGGTCCAGGACGAGCATCTGGGGGCGGGTGAGGCGGGATGGAAGGTGGGCGGGTGAGGGGTTGGAAGAGACGCATGCGAAGTTTAGGAGTGGGGAAAGTTTGTTTACGCTAGGTGGGCCGCAAAGACCTGACTGCCAGGGCTGAGGGAGAGACTCGTCGCACGACGCCCAGCGTGCCCGCTCAGCCGTGGCGGCGCCGCCCTCACCTGCAGCACCTTGCGCACGACCTCGTCCGCCTTGTAGCCGGCCAGCAGCTCCTGCAGCGCATTTGCAATGTTGTTCGCCGCGTTGGATGATGCGCCATCGGTGCCGGCGATACTGAACGTGCGTGCGCTGGTTGACACAGCCACCACTCACACAATGCGATCCCAGCTCAACCTAGCCGACCCTTGCGCTGCCTGCACGACGCGGCCCCCAGCGCAGGAAGCGGCGCAGCGGCGCGGCCGCGCCGCTGCGCCGCCGCTCGCCCCCCCCTGCTCCGCCCACCTGCCACCCTTCCTCGCTGCAGTGCCGCCGCTCGCGCTCCTCGTCCCCCGGCGCTGGGTCCAGCGCAGCTTCTGCCAGCACGTCCACCACCTGAGGCCACAGCGCCGCCAGCTGGCGCGCCGGCGCCGCCGGCAGCGCGTACCGCCGGTCCCGCAGCTGCCGCCGCGCGTCTGCCCCGAGCTGCAGCAGCTGCAGCGTCAGCGCGAGCGCCAGGTCGGCGCGCGGCAGCGACCGCTCGTCGACGCAGCGGTGCAGGCGCCCCACCGCGGCCGCGGCGAGGAGGTGCTGAGCTGGCGGGTCGCGGAGCACCATGCCGGCCTGCGCCAGCCAGCGGTCCTGCCGCCGGGCGCCGCGGCCGACGCCCTCCTCCTCTGCCTCGGGTGCGCCAGCGC